CTGCGATTCAGAAATGAAAGCCTAGTTTTTCTAAGCTAAAGGAGTTATTCGTTATCTTGGCGTTGCCTACGTAAAAGCCATGACACAGGCAAACTTATTAACGGTAATTTTGTCAATTTGTTGTGATCATTCATACTATATACTCTGCAGTATGTGCCCGAGGAGATAGATATATCCAGATTCAAACCAGGTGAACATATGTTTTCGATGAGTTTCTTGCCAAGCCGTTTTAATCACTTTTGTATTAAACATTTACAGTAGGGTCAAACAGAAAAGTAAATGAGTCATGGGTGTGGTAATGAGCCCGAGAAAACTCCCAGTTAGTACACTGTTTGGATTACGAACCAAAATTCGTTATGGTACATCACGGTCACGTGAACAAGCGATTTTTCCCTTGACCAGGAGAATTGGAGAACTGTGATCCCATGGCCATAACATCCTTTTGTAGATAAATCTGCTTATTGGTCTTGACTTGGACGTTGTATTTGCAAAAATAAAGCAATTGTTTCAGGTTTTCCAAAGGAAGGTTAATCTCAACATTGTTACTTTGTACATAACCACACAGGTAATCGATGGTTTCGCTGATTGGATAATTGGTGAAGAGCGAACTAACGTCCAGTGAGAGCATTTTCCGACCCATCAAGTTTAAGTCACGAATGCTTGCTTTTCACGAAAGTGAATGTGTCTCGTACGTTGTGTTTTACTAATCCAATTCTAACGGTCTTTAGTTATTTAGTCAGCCATTTTATGAGTGTTTAGTGTGGTCAATATCCAGAATTAGTCGAAAGGGCACCCCTTCCTTGTGTACGTTCGGTAGCCCGTACAGTCTGGGAATCGGTATCCCAGTTGGCCAGATCCACGGGAAAGTGGTCGCATCCATTAGTCTATTTTGCTTTAAACATTTCAAGATTTTAGACAACGCAAGGTCTGTTTGAGCGGTCTTATCCTTTACCGTTGTTTTGACGAATTTGGACCTACCACTCAATATAGCTGCCATTTTTTGTGCATAATCCGTTCGGGTTAGAAGCACAATTCCCACCCCTTTGTCGGGTTTTGACGAGCTTGTTCGTCTCTCTTTGTTCTATTTGAAATGTGCTCTATTGGAAAGCTTAGACAATTAAAGCAAGCCAAAGATCCAATTATTTTATTTTATTGAAAGTTTTTGTACTTCAGCCAATCAATCTGAATGCACCAATTCTTCCGTCTATTGATTGGAAACTCAAAAGTGGTTTCATACTTAAGTTACAGTTTGAACTACATATTACTTGCTTTTTTATTAAAAAAATCTGAAAACAAATACGTGGTACATTCCCACTGGTCACGTATATAATCGATGTTAAATCATCATCAGGAAAGGAATTCACAAATCATTTCCCATATTTGTGTTTGCAAACATTTCTGTGGGATTGCCAAGTTCGACTCTCTTGTTCTGGGTTGTGTTCCTTTTTCATAAAAGTGATCGAGATGAACCCAGATCTTGATCAATAGACTAAATTTACAAATCGACACATTGGGTGTCGTTTTGCACGTGATAACTACAAACAACATGCAGCGATTTGTTAGTTTCCTAGTGAAAATTTTGCTATTAGTGATGGGAAGCCTGACTATTACCTGACTGTTTTTGTTTATCTGGGA